TCACATGGACTTCCTTCACCCAAGTTTATTAGTTTCACCTAAAATCTCCAGCTGTGAACTTTGCTTCAGCAAGGGAAAAAGCAGCTTCTCTCATCACTTCACCCATCAACATCTTAGTCTGCAAACAGAACAGAAAAGAAGAGCTTGTGAACTCGACATAAAAAGTACAATGATAAAAGAACAAAAAAATTTAATCGCAATAGAAACAGCACTTAGACTTCACAGTGCTTTACAGCCCTCTCTAAGCTGTTTACAGACTCAGCATATTGCCCCCAACAATCTGGGTCCTCATTTTACCCACCTCGAAAAGATGGAAGGCTGAGTCAACCTTGAGCCTGATGGGATTTGAACTGCCAAATTGCAGGCAGGCAGCAGAAGTAGCCTGCAGTACTGCATTCTAACCACTGCACCACCAAGGCTTATTATTAAAAATAATATTAAGTATAACTTTAAGAATAAAGCAAAACAAAACTCCTTACCTCAATAATTTTCTTCAAAATCTGCCGGAATCGTAAAGTCAATGCATCTGATTTTTTTTTCAAGAGGTTTCGACCAGTCTGGGCTCCTTTCAAACGGGCTTTCATTATAGTCTGAGCCCTATCAAAATCAGAAAAAGTGAGGCCTTTTATTTTATCACTTGAGATGAATGATTCTGAAAATAAACCAGTCTTCTTTAGCACATAGAAATTGAGGGTGCATCTAGAACACAGGCCTGGGGACAGCTTAAAACAAATACACTATTAAGCATACCTGGCAAAGCAAGCATAGAATTGCTTACAAGGGAATAAACTCCAAATTAACAATAGTGGAAAATTCTTTTCTAATCTAAGGAGGCTATAAAAAAGAAGTGCCAACAGGAGAATTTTCAGAATAGGAAGGATCTTTCCATCATGCGAATATATTTCTGAGCAAAGATATATTTGGCATTATTTCTTTACTATCATTCAGAGTAAGGCAAATAAGAACTAAATCATTTATAGTTCAAGAAACTAAGAATGGCAATATAATACATGGTGAAATTTGTTCTTGGAAATTAGTATATAATAAGTCACATGCAACATCTAGGCTTCCATACTTCCCCAATCGCCTAAAGATTAAACACTCTACTGGTTTTCCACATGCTTCAAGTTTCCAAATGAATTCAAACTATCACTAGTTTACCAATTGTCTGCACCTAAATCTATTGAATGAAGGAAAAATTAGTACCCTAACAGTAAACTATAACTGGGTGTGCATAAGTACTGTCCAAGGAGAGTTTATGTAGTTTCTTTTCAGAATTTTAATAAGTTGAAAGGAAGTTCAAGAACAGAAGTGTACCTTTTAAAAGAAGACAAAACAGAAGTTTCATATTCTTGTACCAGCTAGTTTCTGCCACTGCCTACTTAGCAGACTGATTCACTTACTAGCTAGAACAAGATTTTGTGTGTGCATTTCAACATCATTCTGTTTGCCATCAACAGTGTCATCCACTAGTCTGTCCTATAAATGTACTGTGCGTGGCTGATCTATGCAAGATTTATGCCAATAGGAATATTTACTTATAGACATGGCTCAGAACTGATCATATATACACATTTATGGTCTTCTTCACAAGAAGTAAAAAGCAAAAATATTTTTATAATTCATATCTCTCTCAACTATGGAGTTGTGCAGTGAAAAAGTAAATAATAGTAACATTTTCTATTGGACATTATATTTTTAAAAAGGAGAAAATTAACATATATGCAATATTTCTTTCTCTAAATAATGATAAAATATTACTGAAAACTTAAAAATTTACTAAACATACTTAACACAGCGTATATGAATTAAAAATCTTGAAAGATCAAAAGTTCTATTCAGAAATAGATATGATTCTATTACCAGTATAGGCACACTATCAAGAATATAACCTACAGAAATATTGAAAGATTACCTACATATCTGACTCTGAGTCATCTAATTTGGTGGACAGTATCATACAAAAATTGGGAGAATATCTAACCATACTGAGTATATAAAAACCCTTGAGAAGCAGAGTTAAGAAACAATTCTGATCAGAGTTAGCAATCCCAACATGATTATTAAAAGACATTTATTGTTTAGGAAAGTTTGAAGTTAGTATTCAACCACTGTATTTAAAGCACAAATGAACCCATTAAAATCAATACGATTATACAAACCAAGATGTACAAAAGATCATATTGCAAGGCCTCGGTGCTCACTTACTCTATTTGGGCATTTGCACCAATAAAATTATTGGAATTGATTTCTAGAACACGAGAGAAGTGGACTACATGAAATCCCCGCAAAGTAGCTGTCAAATCTTTTTTGTGTTTTTTTAAAAAAACTTCATAATTATTATCATCATGCCAACTATTATGGACAGATTTTTGAGTACTACTTTTGAGATTTATCCCCCATGCCTAACATTTCTGGCAAGGCCATTCTTTATTCCTATATCTCGCACATTAGAAAGGAAGTAACACCGACTCCAAGTCCTTTCAACCCATATGCCCTTGGCATGAAACGAGCACATTCAATGACAATCCTGTTCCCTACAAAGGCGTCTGCACGACTATACGACAAAGCATTTATTCTTATGACAGAACGATTCACTTCTTCATTTTCTTTAACGTGTTTCTTCCGCTTGCTCCTAACTGAGGGGGAGTGGGGGGGGGAAAGAGAAGTGTCGGGAAGAACTACCAGAAATAATATTCTTCCAAGGACTCACTCTCTCCAAAAATCACTATTTACCCTCTTTCTGCAGAGATCCAGCTCCCCCACAGCTCTCAATAACTGGACTATGCTGGACTTTTGATGCAGGACAAAAATGTACGTTGCGTGTCTTATTTCTCACCACCCCTCCCTCCCAAACCCACTTTTATTTAGTTCAGCCTTAAACAGCCCAAACGAATTGCCACCACCCGGCCAGTTCTTTGCAACCAAAGCCCAGCGAACCCAGCCACGTCCCAGCCAAATTCCCTTCCCACTCGACCGGCAGGCCCCGCCAAAAAACCAGAGCGCCCCCCCCAAACACACAACCAGGAGGAAGTGGGTTCAAGGGAGGGGGGAAATTCGTGAACCCCGCATCAGGCTGAGCTCAAGAAGCCCGCTGCCCTGCACGACCGACCGCCCCCACCCACCCCCCGCGCCCATCCATCCTCGTCCAGAGCGGGCAGAAGAGGAGGGCAACTCACATCCGCGAAGGGAAGATTTCGATCCTGTCCTTGCCCGACATCCTGCCAAGATCGACCCGCCAAGTCCGAGCCCACCGGACCGCTTAACTTCCTCTCCCTCGGCTCAGCAGCCCGATCACGTGACTCCCTCCGGTTACCAAGGGCACCAAGCCCTCCAATTCGGCTTCCCGCGGTTAGGCCCCGCCCCCTTTCTCCTCGCGACTCGGCGCGTGGTTCACGCGAACGGGGCCGCCCCGTTAAGAAACATAGAGCTAAAGGAAACAACCTCATTAGGAAAACATACTCGATGAATTCAGACAAGGTTCTCTGCTTAGTTGAACTGATAAGAAGACTTAATGTCCAGCCTGGAACAACTCTCGGACGTGGACCCGACAGACCTGGCCATGGCGAAGACAAGAGCCAAGAGGGGACCGAAAAAACTAACCTCCTGAGTAAGGGACAGGCCCCCTCAGTAAGGGACAAGCCGACTGCTCCTCAACAGGACCCACTGGCAACGAGCGTAGAAAGACTCGTGCATGCAGTGGCAATGCCGGACGTGGAAACAATGCCGGACCCATCAACAGTGACCGGCAAGGAGCCGCCGCCGACCGAGGAATTGTCCGAAAAAGTGATTTGAGCCCAGCGAACCACCTCCAAAAGCACTTCAGAATGAAGTTTCTGAGCTCTCAAATCATATCATGTCCCTTAAAGGAGTCGTAGAGGCATTGGACAAGAAGATGGACAGTCTCATGGCGTTTATGAAAACTCAACCCAAGGTGACAGAAGTTATCGGAGATATAGTCAAAGTCAACTCCAACATTGTTGCTGTCGGAAAGATTGTTGATACCTTCGCAGCTAAGTTTGGTGATCTGGAAAAAGTGGTTTCTAAGCAAGGTGTTACTCTTGAAAAGATTTCTGAAAAAATGGACTTAAGATCTGCTGTCCACACCTGAAGCACCAATGGCCGCACCCAGCGCGCCGCCAGTCACAGCTCCCTATCCAGAGTTACCTGACAAAGCATCAATTGGGGGTACTCCCAGAACTCCCTTTTAAGAGGTCTCTGTTTCGATTTAAAAAAAATGTGGGGGAGAAGAACGAACTTATGAGGCAGGCGAGGATAAGGAAATGGGTCGGACTCGGCGACGCCTAGTTGGAATTTCGGGGAGAAAAAGCGGGAAACACAAAGACTTTTGATTCTGAGGAAAGAATGATAAATAATAAAAAAGCGCACCAATGTGCCTACCGTCCCTGTTCTATTGATTCTTTTTATTTTTCTTATATGTATCCATTTCATGTATTCATAACTGTGTTTATACTTATACCTATTATCTTGTAAGCGATTGACAAATCAAATAAATAAATAAAGTCAGGCTGCGGAAAAGCCACTGTGGGCCGCATGGAAGAAGAGTAGAGTGCCTCCTTCTTAAGACTCTGAGTGACCAACGAGAAGAACCCCTTTTTTCCCCCCATCATGCGTCAGATTTAAAAGTAATTGTGAATCTGGAAGCCGGTGTCCTGACTTTTGAATTGTTTAAATTAAAATTGCTCAGCGTGGATTAACACCAAAATACTGGCAAGCTTTTTTTTACGAGGCGGAAACTCGTATCATAGTCTCAAAAGTCAGTAAGATTGGTCATCTTCGGGCAGCAAAAGGCTGAATTGGGCCGATCTTGAGAAACAGACTAACACGGGGAAACTCAGCATAACATATGAAAACCGGAAGTCTATATGCTATATTAAGACCCCTCCCTTCCGTTTCCGCTTCGTATTCGGGGTGGCGGGGGGACTGCTGGATTGGGACATTGTTCCCGAAGTGCTTCCGTATGGCTTCTCAAAACAGGAAGAGGCGGGGCGGCGGCTGCGCTGTGTGACGCGGGGGGGAAAAGAGCACGCTGAAGCGGGAGTCGGGTCCGAAGAAGCGTTTGCGAGCGGGGCTTGTAGAGCGGACAGGTAACGCCGGGGTTGGGGGGGGGATGCGTTCCGCGACGTTCATGCCTCGGGAGGGACTTGCTTTGTGGTTTCCCTCACCCGTGCTGCGGAGGGAAAAGGGTCTCTGTGTCGGAAAACTCTGGGCAGGGTAACCGCTACGAGCCACTTGGGCTCTTCGTGAGAGGCCCGGCGGCCGTATGAGCCTCTCTTACCAGCAGGATGGGCTTCTGTGGCGTCTCTTCGGACCCCCAACTGGCCCTCGGCCTCCCCTCGAAATGTGTCACAAAAGGGCTCCCTGGCCCCGCCACGCCGCTTTCCCCTCGCGCTCTACTGGGTCACAAACGCACCCTTGCAGCCCCGGCGGCGGCGGGAGGGAAGGGAGGGCCTGTGCGGTGGTGCCCGCAAAAAGGCTCGTCAGCGCCAGAGATGTAACCCGCCTCAGGTGCCAATGTCGGCCCAGGGTGCAGAGAGGGAGAAGGACGCTTCTAAGCGCCGGTCCTCAAACTGGCATGCTTGGTACGTTTGGGCTGCTTTGGTGGTGGGGTTTTGGTGGGGCGGGGGGGCAGAGAAACAACGTCCTGGGATCTTTTGGTCCGGCTCAAGTGCTTAAGGATTTCTTTTTTAAAGAGATGGTTAGGAGACTGGAGCCTAAAACATATGAAGGAGGTTGCTGGAACTGGGTATGTCTAGTTTGATGAAAAGAAGGACTAGGGGAGACATGATAGCAGTCTTCCAATATCTCAGGGGCTGCCACAAAGAAGAGGGAGTCAAGCTAATCTCCAACGCACCTGAGGGCAGGACAAGAAGCAATGGGTGGAAACTAATCAAGGAGAGAAGCAACTTAGAGCTAAGGAGAAATTTCCTGACAGAACAATTAACCAGTGGAACAGTTTGCCCCCAGAAGTTGTGAATGCTCCAACACTGCAAGTTTTTAAGAAGAGATTGGATTACCATTTGTCTGAAGTGGTGTAGGGTTTCCTGCCTAAGCAGGGGGTTGGACTAGAAGACCTCCAAGGTCCCTTCCAACTCTGTTATTCTGTTATTTCTTCTCCCATTTTGGATATAAGTGGTTTAATGGTTTGGGCAGAATTTGATTACCTTTCCTTAACCAGCCTAATCAGATAAGGGATTTTTAAAAAATAGGCGGCGGCTGCTACTGTCGATCTACCATAATAGTTCTCCATAAAAATATTTGCTTCCAAATCACAGCTGCTTTTGATGAATTTAGTTATTCTTGTTGTCAGACACAGAATAAACACATTTAAAAGTCTTCCTTTCCATTGATGGTACTTACCACCAACTATAACTACCCTATTGAAGTTCTGATTGAGTGTTTCTAACGTGGCCTTTGGCTTAACACATATTTTATGCAGGCAGCTGACAAGTAGGATGCACACTCCTCTTTTTGGTTTTGGAATTGAAAAGGGGCTTGTGAAGACAGCTGTTACAGAATTGAAGTGGGGTATTAACGTTTAAAATACTTTAGTTCTGTATCTCAGTTTGAGTCAGTGCTGGCTTTTTTAGGATAGTATGCACATTTATCTACATGCCAACTAGATTTCTGTACATTAATGCAGATTTGGACTTAATACTGGAAGTGTGATTTTTATAAGGCTGTTTAATGAGCTTTTATGTTAATCTAATGTAAAATATTTTTCTATATTACAAAGATGCATTCTTAAATGTCATAGCTGTTATTTATGAATAATGAATTTAGTTTGACAAATTAAAGAAACAAGGTTTTCCTGATCATTGTTTACAACTAGCCAATCATTGTGAAGTTCTAGATATTATTCTTTACTCTATTTTCAGTTATGCTTCGCTATTACTAATTGTTTTGATTATAAATATATATGTACTTACAACTTTCTGATTTATTATTGTAGGATGCCTGGATTAAGTTGTAGATTTTACCAGCATAAATTTCCTGAAGTAGAAGATGTTGTCATGGTCAATGTCAGATCCATTGCAGAAATGGGAGCCTATGTTAGTCTTTTGGAATACAACAACATTGAGGGCATGATCTTACTCAGTGAGCTGTCCAGGAGACGAATCCGTTCTATAAATAAACTCATCCGAATTGGCAGAAATGAATGTGTTGTTGTCATAAGAGTTGATAAGGAGAAAGGTGAGTTGCATAACAAATATAGCAACTTTTTCAATCCATAGGAATATATTTATGGTTTTCAAAAGATTCAACGAGAGGACTAAAATTGTAGAACAGCCTACTAGAAGAGATAGTATGCAGTAATTTGGAAGAACAGATCTTTCCCCTTCACTTAATAACTATACATATTTTTTTATGAGAGAAAGACTGTTAGTTGACTTAATATATTTAAAAATATTTCTTGTTATTTTAGGTTATATTGACCTATCAAAAAGAAGAGTGTCTCCAGAAGAGGCAATTAAATGTGAAGACAAATTCACCAAATCAAAAACTGTAAGTTTTTGTAAGAAACATTTGTCCTCCTGCTTTGTTGAATAATGAAATACATTTTAATTCTGCTAAAAGTTTCAGTTTGCTTGACCTTAAAATAAAGAAAAACAAGATAGAGCCATGCAACTAAAGTTATACAGATAGCCCTTGACTTACAACTACAGTTAAGCCCTAAATTCAAATTGCTAAGTAAGACAGTTAAGTGAATTTTGCCACATTTTACAGTCTTTTTTTTTTGCCCTGATAAGTGAATCTGGATTCCCCCTTTAACTTTGCTTGTCAAACTGTTGCAAAAGATGATCCCATGACCCCTGAGCACTTCAATTTCATAAATGTCAGTTGCCAACCATCTGAATATTGATCACTTGATTCTGGTGATGCTGCAACAGTTACAAGTGTGAAAAATGCTCATAAGTCACTTTTTCCAATGCTATTGTAACTTTGGTCACTAAATGTCATGAGTTAAGGACTACTTGTACTATATATGTTGTGAACAATATCTTTTCATACCACAGTATTCTGCTCTTGCATATGTGTGTGCATGGTCCAAATAGCTATAAAAGAAAGTCCAGTTCTCCACTACACAGAGAATAATGATAAGTAGCCGATTTCCAGTATAACATGTTAATATGACCAAATTAGTATTATGGCTGTTATCAGGGATGTAGTAGTATACAAAGATTCTCTCTAGAGCAGTGGTCCCCAACCTTTTTTGTACCACGGACCGGTACCGACATCACAAAATGATCCACGGACCAGTACCGGCATCAGCTCGCACAGGCAAGGCGAGCCGAGCGGCCAGCCAGCCAGCCATCCCCTGCTTCTCCCCGCCACCTTCAACTCATCCTTTGTACCTTCTTGCGGTCAATGGGCTTTTCGGGCTCTTTCTTAATCTCCTGAGTAACGCAAGACTCCACTGCCATCGGGACGGCTCTTCATTCGAAGCTGCCCCCCCCTTCGACGAAACTAAGGCGTGAGGATTCCTTCAGCACCCAAACGCCATTTTCCAACTGACGACCGACAAGCTCACCCGGAAGCACTTTCTCAAGCGCCGTCGAAACAAGATGGCAGCGCCCAAGCAAAGTAGGTGGCCCGGTACAAAATGATCCACGGACCAGTACCGGTCTGGGGCCCAGTGGTTGGGGACCCCTGCTCTTGAGATTTCATGTCACCTAAACATTTCTACATCACAGACTTTTCCAATTATGCCATTGATAACTCTGGAGTAGCAGAATTTTACTTCATTTTTTCTGTTTGTTCTGCATGTGTAAATTAACTTTGGAAAATGGGATTTTGAATTTATCCACTCCACTACAAAGAGAAGAAATTAAGTAAATAAATAAAATTTATCTAGGATATATTTTACACAATAGTGCTGAATATCAGTAGCTCGAGTGTAGGATGAGGGTGAAGGTTTGTTCTCCGAGCTTGTGGGTTGGTTTCTGAATGTTTCGTTACCAGGCTAGGTAACATCTTCAGTGGAGTTTAGGGGAGGCCAGTATCAATATTCTTCTGTTTATAAGGGCTTCGTGGCTGACACTGACATTCCCTAAACTCGCTGAAGATGTTACCCAGCCTGGTAACCAAACGTTCAGAAACCAACCCACAAGCCCAGAGAATGAACATTCACCCTCATATTTAACACAGTTGCCCTAGCTTTAAAATAATTGTTTAGCTTCTGACCTCTTTGGACATATCAAAGACTCTAAAAAGATACCATTGCAGGATACAAGACAGTGAAAATTTTATCTGGATCAGGAAATTTGAGCATGGGCACATTGATGAAATATTTAACATGTTAAGAAAAGGCATATCCTGTGTACTAATATATTGCATATTAACCTTCATTATTGTTTCATTGGATTAGGATTCACCGTGTTAAATATAGCAATGTTACATTCTTATGCAACTTTTTCCCTGCGTCTGTTCAGGTTTACAGCATCCTTCGCCATGTTGCTGAGGTTTTAGAATACACAAAAGATGAACAGCTGGAGAGTTTGTTTCAGAGAACTGCTTGGGTATTTGATGACAAGTACAGAAAGCCTGGATATGGTGCATATGATGCCTTCAAACTTGCTGTCTCGTAAGTAAAGATGCCTTTCTAATCTTTCACTAATTTAGAAATTAGATGATAAATTTGTGTGTTGCTTGCTTTTATGCAGATTCTTGTACCCTTATCGTTACTCAACAAGTAATTTTTCTGCATTTTGAAGACATGGCATGCTAGCCTGCTTCTATCTATAAACTCTACTTGTATCTTTTGCAAACCTAATTTTCAGGAACAGGAGATGAGTTTAACTGTGTGCATAGTTTATTGTTTTGACAGTTCCTCATTTCTCTTTTGTGTGTAATTTAGGAAATTCTGGTAAGGTTTTCTTTGATTATTCATTTTATACAGTGATCCCACAATCCTTGACGGGCTGGATTTGACAGAAGACGAAAAACGTGTGCTAATTGACAATATCAATAGACGTTTGACACCACAAGCAGTGAAAATTCGAGCAGGTGAGTCCCCAAAACTGCCTAAGTTGATCGAACATTCTGTATACTTGAAAATATCAATTGGTGAATATATTATGAGGATATGTTGAATGCTGCTTTCTGCTTTATGGTAAGCTATTATTATCTGAACATGTGATAATCTTGGGCTCATTGAGGACTTGAACAATAAGCATGACTGGGAAATGTTTGAATGGGTATAGATTAGGAAAGTGAATTTCACAGTGCTATATTTCAAAATATAGCATTTTTTGTTGAATAAGTTATCCAAACAATTATTTAATTCTCTGAAGGAAAAGAACCAGAAATTCTCAAATAGATTTCTGGGACACAAGTGTTTTTAGATAGACAGGAATAGGAAAGTTGCTGGAAATGTAAGGAATCAGAGATTAATTGGCAAGGAGATAAGGTGTTATCAAAGAGAAAGCACTTAAAAGATAAATGAGAAAATTAATATAAAGGGCATACAGAACAGTGAAATAAATCAAATAGGGTCTAATAAAAGGATGAGGATGGAAATTGTGAAATGACTGAGCCAGCTGCCTAAAACTTTAGCCCTGGTTCATATAGATTTTAATGAGTGGAAAAACAGATCTTAATGAATAGAAGAAGTATAGCTGTATATACAACTAGAGAAAATTGTATTGTTTTACCTTTCAGTTGAGCTGAATTGAGAGTATACAGACATTAGGTAATACGTTCATATTACATGAAATTTATTAATTGACTGTTATTGTTTAAAGGTGCAACAATTCTGTGATTCTGTTATCACTAATTAGAACTATTCCACTGGGATTAGGAAATATGGAACATTTCTGCCAAGTAATAAGATACAAATTATAATTTATAGTAGTTAAATTGTATAACTGGCTAAATGCACTTGTTGCAAAATTTCTAATGGTTGTTACGAACTTTCTCCATCCCAAAAAACTTGCTTTAAAAATTATTTCTAACATGACAACTGATTTCTTTAAAAAATAAAAAATACCCATATGAGGGATAACGGGAAAATAGGATTTATTCAAATACCAAACCACTTGAAAAGGGATCTGGTCATGTATGTTACCAGTCAGTGAATACTTGGCCATTTATGTTACCAGTCAGCCATTGGTTAAATTCCTTTCATTTTGTAGAAGCATAAAATAGTGAAGAAAGGCTTTCTTCATAACAGGGAACAGGGTTAGATGCAAATGTGCAGGATTTGTAGGAAAACTGCATTGTAAGGGGGAAGTTACAAGAAAATAAACCAAATTCAAGAAAATTGAATATTTAATGTGTCTTCTGCTTCAAATGTTCCAACCTAACCATGTTGTAGATTAAGTACAAATGTAACACAATTTTCCTTGGGATCACCTCTTAGCCTATGGCCTCTTGGTAGTTAGGAATGTTTTTATCTTTCACTAGCATTTATCTTTAAAATGCAAATATTATTGAACTGTGTATATTTAGTTGCTAATGATTTTAAAAATTTAAACATTTTTAACATAGCAAATTTTTGTCTTTTTTAGATATTGAAGTGGCCTGTTATGGTTACGAGGGTATAGATGCAGTAAAGGAAGCTCTGCGAGCTGGCCTAAGCTGTTCTACAGAGAGTATGCCAATCAAAGTAAGTGGACATCCTTTGACTTGGTTGTTCTGGAAAAATCTTGAATATATTTGTAAAAATCTAATATCCTCATGTGGCTTAATTGTCATGCCACTTAGTCTGTTAATGTATAGAAATGGAGTTGAGAGAAAAAGTGAGATCTGAATTGATCTAAGAAAGCCAATAACAATCTTAAAGTGGCTCAGTTGGGTTGATTATTTTACCAATGTTATAAAACATATTTTGAAAGCATAGAAAAAAATATCTCCATAAGGCAGAAAATGAAACAGATTTACAGGAAGTTAATGGTAGTTACATTCTGTTAAAAAGCTACAAATACTGAATTGGCCCCAAACCACAGGAATATGCAATTTGGCTGATTCCAATATTTTGTTGCTCTGCATGTCCATGAATCAACAGTGCCATGAGTACTTATTTGGGGTTACAAATAAGTGAATTCACAAATACAGAACTTGCAAATAATGGAAGTTAGCCTGTATATCATGGAATACATCATTTAAAAGTTTATTATCTTGTACCGTAGTATTTTTGCAAAATACTAGAACTCCTTCATGAAAAGACCCGTATGAAATAACTCCTGGAGTACTTTTGTGGTTAGTTCAAGATTTAAACCATCTTTTTATCCATAGCTTTGAGGAGCAGGTTAAGACTTGTGAAAGCAAGTCTAATACTACCTCATTCTTTTTTAGATAAATCTAATAGCTCCTCCCCGATATGTGATGACCACAACAACACTTGAAAGGACTGAAGGCCTTTCTGTCCTCAGCCAAGCTATGGCTGTCATTAAAGAAAAAATTGAAGAGAAGAGAGGCGTCTTTAATGTGCAAATGGAAGTAAGTATTCAGTGTTCAGCTAGGCTGGGATCAAGGGCACTTACAGACCCCTCCTTCCCACCTTTGTCTATGATCCTCAGGGTTAATACCTGCAACTGTAATTATTGCCAGGTTTGGGGAAGGGGGGGAGATCCAGTGTTTTTTGCAGTCTCCAACCAGGAGCAAGAACTTCATTTTTCTTGTTCTATTTGGAAAATTAGCAAATGCTTCAAAACATGCTTCAAAGCATGTGTTCCTTTTTCCCTGGTGTAGAACTGCCTCAGAAAACTAAGAAAATGTTTTCTTCTCTTTCTCATGTACTTCCCACTTTCTCAGCTCCATTTTTATTAGACCTGTTTGAACACAATGTTGATAAGTCAGGAATTTGGAAAGACACAAGAAAGCCTTGTAGCTCTAGTCACAGTACTTTCTTAAGTGGAAGAAAAAAGTTAGCAAATTAATCTGGCAGGTACTGCTATGGCTTGGTTTTTTTGAATATTGCCATTAACAAAGCTTTCAAATGGAGGAACAGAAGAGGAATAGACAGGGGAAAGAGAAGGGAAGAAATACACAAAAATAATATTTAGGGATAAATACAACCAGAGGAAAGATACTGAGTAAAGGTATGCATCTGCTTAAGTTACTCCATATTTTCAAATATTAATTATTCCAGACCATCAAAATACTCTTCCCTTAATGAACCCAAATAGATACAGAATGGGTTTATAGGGAGGAGTAGAAATGTCTGGTAATACAACATGGAATTCTTGACAGCTTATCCATCTGTGTACTCCACCAAGTGTGTATAGTGGAATCAAGTTCAAAGGGTGCTTTCCTTCCGGTATTCTGATTTTACACAATGGGATGTTTTATCACTCTTTTTTCAGTCTTAAACACAGAATGATTATCAAGTGTAGGATGCAGAACGTCTCAACCATTGGGTCTGCTGGAGATGGGTTTTTACCTTTGCTCCAGAAGACTTAAATTTTTTAACATTTTGTTGTAGAAGCAAACAATAACATTTTAATGGAAATCATTAGAATAAGTGAAGTCTGTTTAGGAAACAAAATTGTTTTAAATTAAGAAAACAAGTTTGTAAAAATTCTGCTGAATTGTTTCATATTGATTGCAGCTCAGTGGAAATAAAACCCAAAATTGTTTTGCTTTTTTTGTTTCTTCGACAAAACAATATCCCGAGAAATCCCAGAGTGATTTTATATGATGAGTAATTTTGTCACAGCTTTTTTGAGCAGCAACTAGTATAGCAGGTTCCACTACCTACCTAGCCTCCCAATTTTCTGAGCATCTTCCACTTCTCTGTTTCTGCAGTTCACGTCCCAGCATTGCATACACAGGTAGTCCACTACTTACAACAGTTCATTTAGTGACCATTTCAAGTTACAAAGGCACAGAAAAAAGTGACTTGTGGCCATTTTTCACACTTGCAACCAGTGCAGCATGTCTGTGGTCACGTGATCAAAAAAAAAAATGGGCACTTGGCAATCGGTTCATATTTATGGCGGTTGCAGTGTCCTGGTGTCACGTGATCACCTTTTGCAACCTTTGAACAAGCGAAGTCAGTTGGAAAGCCAGATTCACTTGACCATGTTAGTAGCTTAACACGTATTGATCACTTTTTCTTTATAGCCCAAGGTGGTAACTGACACTGATGAGACTGAACTTGCAAGGCAGTTGGAAAGGTTGGAGCGTGAGAATGCTGAAGTGGATGGAGACGACGATGCTGAGGAGATGGAAGCAAAAACTGAAGATTAAGTTTATTGCCATGGCAAAATAGATGGAAATTATGCCTTCATGCAAATAACTAAAAATACCTAGAGTCGACTGATGAGATTTCATTGTTAAAAATGCCACAGGAACAGACTTGAAATACTTTCATCAAATTTTTAATGAGACCAAATTTTGAACAGACAAGAAACCATCTGCTACAGTGTGTTGCTTGATTTTCTCAATGGGAAGGTACTTCTCACTGAAGATTAAAACCTTTCCTCCCCTAAACAATCCAAGCATACTTTGATGACTCTTCTTAATATTTTCACGTCTTATACATTCAGATGGCAACTGGTTCACTATGTTGTATCAGTGAGTTTCTGAGGATTAAACCAATATTCCTCCATAGACCGCATTGAAGCATTCAATAAATGTATTGGATATTTACTTGGGTTTCTTTTCATTTTAAGAAATCTGTAGTGCAAAGAACTAAAGAGGAAAGAGTAGCTTTTAGCTCTTGAAGATGGCAGTTTGCATGTCTTTTAATAATTCCTAATCTCTACATAGTTCATAATCAGTTGTCATTATACAAGTAACTTTAGGGCTACTTCACGTACAAGTCAGCAAGACTAGATATTCCTTTTTAACACTCAGTGATGAATTGATGCACTAGTCTTCCTCTTATTTTGTAGGCTTTTCTTTTACATTTTTGAGTATGTGATGCCTTAGAACAAAATATTTTTCTCTACTCTGCAAGGTAAACCATAATCTATCTCATTGATAGAGCAAGGAAATACTGCATTCAGTTGCCTAAATAAGTTTATTAGGAGGATGGTACATCTTGTGTTTATTTTTTGCTGGTCTGCCACATCAAACTCCTACATACTATCGTAGTGATTATATGTGCTAAAACTGTTATTAAATGTCATTACTTTTTCCCCTAAATACTGTGCTATTTATGCAAGAATTTTCTGTTTTTGTGTATAGCAAAATCAAAAGCTGGTAAAGACTTCTAAATAATCAACTTTTTTCTAATAGTAACACCAACAAATGTTTTAATGGCAGCTTATAATGGTGTACTTTTTTTCCCTACCACTGGGTGTCATACAACCACAACAAACTGCCTTACTATTGCTTTAAAACGGGTCTCCAACCTTGGCAAAGCTGTTTGAGGAATTCTGGGAATTGAAGTCCACAAGTCTTAAAGTTGCCACGGTTGGAGACCCCTGCTTTCAAAGGATTCTGAATGTCCTGAATTCATATTTAGTAAAGCATTACTTATTAAAGTTCTCCATCTGGCCTGCTTACTCCTTATGAAGATTCTGCACTCTGAGGAAAAGCCAGTTCTCTCTCAAGATAAATTTTCAGTGTTGCAGGCAACGTTTGACGTCAACATCAACAAATAGTTTGTTAAAGCCAGTTCCTCCCACTATGGGGGAATCTGTAGGCCTAAAGATAGATAGGGCAATTTGAGAACTGATTAGACCTACCTGATCTGACATCACTGTCTGAGTTTAGTTTTATATCCATACAGGTTCCTACATGTTTTCTTCCAATAGGGATATGTTTAGTATTTGAAGAGTTCCTTGTAGCAGTAAAAACCCACATTTCAATATTAAGTAGTATATAGATTGGGTAACCTTCCTCACGTCTTTAGAGTGAGAAGACGCCCATTTTCTGCAATGTCTAGGAATTTATTTTTGTGTAAAGTATAGTTCGACTGAATGCAAACTAGTATGGACATGTATCTTTAAGAACTAATTACAATGTTTGCCCTGTACATTTTTTTAGAGTAGCCATTTTCATACAATGGATAGTTTATAAATATTTCAAGTGCTATGGAGAAATAAAATATAAGGGGGGTTATCTAGGTATTGTTGGCATCAGAAATGTCAGGGCAAGCACAATCGATCAATTAATAGAAAACTAAATTGAACAGTAGTCAAATTGGGGAGCAGGGAAAGATAGGGCAAATGATTAAAAAATGATAGCTTTTCAACAAAAAAGATTTAAAAAGGGCAAAGGTGTAAAATAACTACCGCATGAAACTGGAAGGCAGATCTATTTTTGATATTTATTCATATCCCATCATTTTTACAAATAAGGTGGTGAATATATCTAACACCTCTTCCCATTTTCCACACAACAACCCTGTGAAATGGGTTTGGCTGTGAAGAGAGTGACTGGGTCCGAAGTCACCTGGCCAGCTTCCACCGCTAAGGCAGGACTTGAACTTACAGTCTCTACTAGACCAAACTGGCTGGTATACTTGATATACTTTAGCCATCCTTGTACTGTTCAGTAGTTAGTAGACTGGAGCAGAGAGCCTCCAAGAATACAGGAGCTAGACCACATCCTCTGGCCAAAAAAATAAATAAACACATTTTAAATACATATAACAATATTTACATAGGGCTGACTCATGTGAAATAGAAAGCAAGCAATTGGAGTATATTGTAACACTCAGTCATAAAGTCCCACACCCACTCCAAAATAATACTATGTCTGCAAAGAGATTTGCTGACATGTTTGCTGATTTAGTGACTAATGCTACATTGTCTGTGACTCGCACTTTTAGCAAGAACAGTAATCTGGAGCTGTGCAAGAATAACAATTGTTTCCTTCCTACTTCATTCCAGGATGCTGTTTTTTTTTTTTAAATCTTGCTTTGACCATAAAAGTATTTCCCTAGAAAACAAGTAAATCTTGCAATAAGAAAAAGTATCACTGAAATCTTAACCGTAACCTTATCTGTAGTTCTGTAAGATGCTATTGGGTATAAAGTCCCTCACTACAGTCTCAAGGTAGGATACAATTTCCATAAGAAGCATCAATCTCCACCCAAAGAGAAGTGTAAAATGCTTGCTCACTGTTCTTAAAGTCTTCCATAGAAAAGGGTTGCATATATTTTAAAGCAACTTTTAGGGCGTATGAAAATGACAAAGGGAAACTGCCTACACTTCTTGTCAGAGATACTACATGCATATGGAGATCTTCACAGAAAGGTCAATAGGAAGCCTTTTAATAAAAATCAATTTATACATCTTGGTTTGGCTTGACTTAACAAATGTGCATGGGTCTACTTAATAGTAATACCCAAATTATATATTAATGTAGCCTTACTGTTCTAGAAAGTTAAGTACAGCACATTATTATGCATTCTTAATTAGAAGGCCCAAGTACAATGGTTTTTATTCTGTAAAAGTAAGTTGAGCAAGTAGTGTACAAGTAATTACTCAACTTACAATGGCTGTTGGAACTGAAATTTCCATCACTTAGCAATGGTAGCTCTGTGCTGAGCTGATTGCCTTCATTAATAAGATCTGATAGTTGACAGGTAAGGCAACTTCATGCTACCACTGACTTGGTTGCGGGAAGCTGGCAAGTCCCAGGTGGCTTGCACACAGGAAGGCAGTAAGTGGCTGCTGGTGGATAGGGAAGAGAGTGCAAGGAAGGTGTGGCACCTCATAACCATGTGACTGGGTCAAAGCGGGTGTGTGAGGTGCACAAGGGTAAAAGGAAGGTGTGGCAAGACTTGGGGAGGGTGCAGGGGAGCACACAAGTGGCCAGCTTGGTGTGAGCGCAGAGGGGTTGTGGGGACTGGTTGGGAGAGACTTACCCCCAACTAATCTACTGAATTTCTGGGGAAGCCACAGGGAGGTCACAAATGGAGATCACGTGGTTATGAAGTGCTGCATTTAGTCATAAGTGCAAGCCAGTTACCAAGCACCCAGATTATAATCACTTGACTGCAGGGGTCCTGGGACAGCCAAAAGCCTGAGAACTGGGCATAACTACCAATTGTTCAGGGCAGTGGTGGGATTCAAATATTTTTACTACCGGTTCTATGGGCGTGGCTTGGTGGGTGTGGCAGGGGAAGGCTACTGTAAAACCGGTTCTCCAAACTACTCAAAATTTCTGCTACCAGTTCTCCAGAACTGGTCAGAACCTGCTGAATACCACCTCTGGTTCAGGGCCATTTTAACCGAACAGTTCTTCAACGAATGGTCTTAAGTCAAGGACTACTTATATCCAGTCATGTCCTTATGGCTCAGATGCACTTTCCTTTCACAGATCCTAGATGTCTTGGAAACATCTGATTATCAATTGCCAGAAGGAGAACATTTGAAGCATTACATTTAATTTATGCTATCTTTATCCTTCTTGGGTTTTTTATGATTATTTACCCATTATCAGACCCAGAAAGGAGCATTCAGCCTCATAAAGGTCTCTCATTCCTGAAATAAATAGCTAACTGAAATTTTGGAGACATCCAGTTATTATTTGTAACAAGGCTATGTCAAGTTGCCTTAAATATCTCTTTTGTATATATTTAAATTTTAATTCTGGATTAAAATGTCTGGCTATAATATGGATAGGACTTACTTGCTTTTATTGGTTGTTGTTGTTTTGGTGTCTTAACTCCTCGCAGTATATCGAACTGCAGTATACCATACTCTCCACTATTGCAATCATCCATTCTATTTTCTCCATGACACAGAGCTAACTTAATCTTTGATATATTAATTTTTAGAGCCATATATCTCACTTATTAAATAATTTAAATTTCACTGCAAATAATTTGGATTCTCTACCAATAATATGGCATCATGTGCATGTAAAAGTATAAATGTATTTCCAGTCAAGGCCTCCCTCCTACCAAGCGCTTCAAGTATTCCTTACACATGTATATTGTTGTCTCATCTTCATTTGCAGCATTTGTGCATGCGTCTTATATTATACATTTTTTTAAAAAATAGCTTCTTTCACTTCATCATGTAAAAAAACATCTTTTTCACACTTCCCATTAATCAAATACACATACTGGACTTCTGTAATATTATGTAATATAATTCTTGTTACCTTTTTCCAAACAGCTTCCACATCCTCTTTCTATATGTCTGTTTTCTATTCATTCGAATAGGAAATACAACTATCTTCTAACATTTGTTCATTTCTCAAGATACAGTGTTTACACTTGCAAAAAAAACTGTTTATTTAAAACTTTTCATTCATTTACTGTGTTTCATGCGTTACCTCAACCATTCCTAATAATCAAATAATGCTTTCAGGTTTATATTCATTATTCTATCATGTATACATATGAAGATAAATACTTGAACCAAGGTTCCTTCCAATCACCCTATGATTCTATGATTCAAAATATTTGGAATAAAAATATTTTTTTAACAGATATTTATCGTTCTCTTTCATTGTGTTTCCAAATCTCCCAATAATTTTTTTTGTACTGTCTTCGTCTCATTTCCATTCATACATTCGAAACACCTAGCATAATATTTTTCCCTGAATTGCATTCATTCAAATGTTGCATTGTTTTTTCCCAAAAAAACATTTCTGATTCTTTGAGTATTACCCTTCAGTGGAGGTAACATGCAACTATCACAAACCTAGAATTTTCTATGTTCCTATAGCTCCACAACTTAGATGACATCAGTTATTCTCCTTTCTGACATTCATTCTAGTAATTTCACTCATAATTAAACCTATACCTTCACTTTCCTGCACATACTCATCATCTTTATTCTACAACATTAGGACACATTTACTAAAATTTGTAATGTCCTTTTTTCTTAATTTCACAGATATATATTTTTCTTTCTTCCATGTTGTCATCTGCTCATTTTTGCTCTTTATCATTTACTTCTTTTACATTCCAGGTTGCAATCTTCTGAGACAAATGGTTATCCAATCTTTTCTTTAAAACTTCCAGTGTTGGAGCATTTACAACTTCTGAAGGCAAGTTGTTCCACTGATTCTGTCAGGAAATTTCTTCTTAGTTCTAAGTTGCTTCTCTCCTTGATTAGTTTCCACCCATTGCTTCTTGTCCTACCCTCAGGTGCTTTGGAGAATAGCTTGACTCCCTCTTCTTTGTGGCAGCCCCTGAGATATTGGAACATTGCTATTATGTCTTCCCTAGTCCTTCTTTTCATCAGACTAAACATACCCAGTTCCAGCATATGTTTTAGCCCCCAATCCCCTAATCAACTTTGTTGCTCTTCTCTGCACTCTTTCTAGAGTCTCAACTTCTTTTTTATATCGTGGTGACCAAAACTGGATGCAGTATTAGAAGTGTTGCCTCACCAAGGCGTTATAAAGTGGTATTAACATTTCACGTGATCTTGATTCTATCCTTCCGTTTATGAGCCTAGAACTGTGTTGGCTTTTTTGGCAGTGGTATGCCATGTTTATCACCGGACAGATCTATAGAAATTGATTTCCAGTGCCCAGCTTGGTTTTGATCAAGGCTTTTACATAATATTGTTAGTAAGATAGAGAAGGTGTGGATATAATTACTAACCAAACCATTTGTAACATTCTCTATTAAGACAGTACCATTAGTTTTGGCATATTTTGGACAAATTTGCTACAACAGCTCATTTAAAGCTTAGTTTTATCCCAAGCATATTGTTCGTGCTATTCCAGACAAGCCAGGATTAATCTAGAGACTATTTTCTAAACTAAATATACTGCTGCCCACATCCCACCTCAGAAGTATATGCAATACACTAACAATCCAGACATTTTACTGTATATCTAACTTTGGAAACTCCCAGTAAGCAAAACGTTGTAGCCCCCGGTATGTTCTTGGCTTCTACATACTACAGGAATGTCTTCCTGTGATGTGTAATCAAATGGCTGATTCATATCACCTGAGGCACTCAGTCAGTTTGAGCCTTTACAACTGCAAATAGGAGCGACCTTGTTCACCATAAGGACAGGTGCTCTCTCATTGCCAGCTCAGTGTTTGCTTTCTCTACCTTGAGCAGGGAGGGGACCAGACGTCACTCTGGAGTGGGGGTGAAGAAAGGCAGCCTGCCTCTTAAAACCTCACTTTCAGAAGAACCGGTTTGCAGCTGTCTGCAAGATTCTCAACAGGCACACATTCTTCTCTTGCCCACCATGGAGGAAGGGAGGGGGATCCTGAAGGAGGGCTTTCTAGTTAAAAAGGTAAGACTTCTTCCCACTCACCTCTAACTGGGAGGCTTAATTATTACATCTTCTTTAATAATAATATTTATTATTTTTAAATGATTACAAATAGTAATCTTCAACTGACTAGGAAAAAAAGGTTGTAAATTTTAGAAATAACAAAATGCTCCCTAGAAGAACTCCCATGGTCAAAGATGAAGCGACTGAACTGGGATAACATGTCTTACAAAATTGATCTCTTCTATGTCACAGTTCTAATTTCATTTGTAGCCTTGCCTCCTTTTTCAAATTCATGTTCTTAGGCTGCCTCTAGATGGATGGCCTTTGGCTTGCAGCTTTTGAATTATTGTAGATCCATTGTAAGCGATGTTCAGTTGATTTGTACATTTTCAGAAGTGTAACATATTTTTTTTTTGAATATCCTGGGTTTTTGTTTTAATCTCCAATGGGCATGATGTAGCAAGTATCTTGATGATCTGTTTGAAGCTCAGTACATATTTCCATCTTTTCAGTAGGTGTGACAGGAGGACAGCTGTGTTGATCTTTGGTAGCTAAAATTCAAAAGAGTGTGGTAACATGTTTTCCAGCTAACATCTTTTATAGAAGGCAAACTTTTGTCAGCTCACTTCAACAAATGCAAAGTGCAACTAAACTGATATAGGATTTATATTAGAATGATGGAATGAGTTGGAGGGGGAAGGCAAGGTTGGTTATGCACATGAAGATTACACAAGAGACTGATCAAAAACACCTAATCAGTTAATAATTGTAATGTATTAAAAGTGTGTTGCATTTGTTGAGATCTTTTAAGTTAACCTGAAAACTTTTGGTATATGATAATTCTGCAACTCTTTGCTTAAAGTCTCATTCCCCCCTCCCCAAATAGTCACTTTGAGATCTGCAATTGAATCTCCTGAAAGATACTTTCAATAATGGCATTTTATGAGATTTTGTCATAATTGATTTCTGGCATGAAAACAGTTTTCCACTGTAGCAGCTTTTTGATTCCTACATTTTGAACTGTGAAAATGGTGCCTAGTGCTACCAAATGAGAGATACGGAAGAGTTATAGCATTTTTTTTGTCCACAACAGCTTTTTGAGAAAAGAAAAAAGAAAATTAAAAAAAGGTTACATCTGAAGGATGATCTGTGCCAAAACACATTCCACCTCAAAATAAAATTCTGTCGGCTAGACAGAATGATTATACAATAGAAGGCTTCTCTGAAATCACACATGGCAGTATATTGTAAGAATTTAATGATTTCTCAGGACTTTATGGAAAATCCAAACAACACTGTGATCTATTCATAAACAGGATGGCTTTTCCCACTGCTACATGGTTTTCAGCCATAAATCATCCAGTGAGAATTAAAAGGGCTTCAATCAAATGGACCTCAGATAGCCATGCTTTCTTTCCTTGAAATAGATATTTCTTGTAAAAGAAAAAGAAAATGTATGACGATTCTGTCGGCAGTCTTGTGAATGAGGAAGGGTAGTTATATAATGCAGAACATGTACCAGGACAAAAGTGCAATTTTTCAACAAGTATATACAGGAAAATGCATGCCTAAAGTACCATGGGAGGAGCTGTTCCTGATAATGGTGGATGAGGGTCTGAAGGCGCCACTCCTTTCTCACTTCGTTTATTTTCCATTTCTGCTTCCAAAGCAATTCCTTTCTCTCCTGTCTTCAGCACCTTTCACACTTTCCTAGAAGTTCTGAAGGAAGTGCACATCAAGAAACAGAGAAAGGGAAACACCCAGTCTTATTGCTGTCCAGATTTTTGAGGAGAAATAAGATATAATATACTTTTTACAAGGAGAGAGTTTGGGATTTTTGTCCGGTTGCAGTTTGAAAAACAATGAGGAAATGCAGGCTAATACCACAAACAATATTACCATCTGGACTCTTAGTAAAATTCCATGAAGAGGGTGGGGCAATTTCACTATCAATTTCACATTTTATCTGAAAGTATTTTTTAACAGATTAAACACATCTCCACCTAATTTCCAGTGAATATAGGCTGGATGTTATTTTTTTGTTTCAGAATGCAATACTTCTATTATTCAAACTATTTTAGTTTTTATTATAATATATATCACCTGTAACAGTAGAGAGACAGTTGGGTATAGTGGTTAAAGGTGCAAGACTGAAAAATGGGAGACCATAAGTTCTAGACTCGTTGTAGGCAGGAAGCTGACTGCTTGTCTTTGAGTCAGACACACAGAGCGCTAGGAAGAAGGACATAGCATACTATTCCTTTAAAAATGCAGTTGCCAAGAAAACTGCAGGGACTTGTGCAAACAGTAACCTGGAATCAAGACTTAACTTGAAGGCATTACAAAAGAAAAATAGTGGTATGGATTGTAAATGTGAGTGGGGCAATATTGACCCACTCACATTCATGCTATGGTTTTAATGAACATTGTAATTACTTTTATGCATCGGTATTCTGCTCAAAAAACAGATCTCATATTGCACCCATGGGTTATTTTAAATGGAAGCATAAGGGGAAAATTTAAATAATTTTAAATTTAAATAAATTTAAATAACCCTGGTGGCTAGGATTTTGTTCAAAGTTCTATCAATCAGAAGTGTATTAATGCAATAAGTTATGAGTCAGAATGAATAAACGTGTTGCTTCGTGTAATTAGCCTAGCAAGTAGAGCTTCTTTTGAGCAGTTTCAGAAACCACTATTTTTTGTTTTTGTTTTTATTGTTTGCAGGGTCACGTTGTCCCCAACTGGAAAGCAAGGTGGTTTGTTCTTCTCCAGGACAAGCTGCTCTATTACAAAGTGGTGGGAGGAAAACAGGAGCCGACTCCCAAGGGAAGGATTTTTCTGGACGGCTGTACGATTACCTGCCCATGTTTGGAATATGAGAACAGGCCGGTAAGCCCCATGTTGGATTCTTTGCTTAGTTCCCTTACTATATACTGTGTTGACTTTAAAATGAGAAAAAGCAATGAGGGAAGAGAACAATCTAGGTTTTGTAAATGAATTGGCATAATATTCTGAGAAAGCTGCTTTCTTTTCAAAGAGGACTCCCAAAAAGTTCATAGCTCTATTTTGACTTACATAGCTCCAAGAAGGTGTATATATTACAGAAGGGGAAAAAACAGGGAATGGGCAAGTCAGGGGAAAAAATTCTAATGGTTGGAATAATTCAACTGGGAAACCAGTTACTCACAGCAAGACTGAACTCTTTTACTGGATGTGCTGAAGCAGGGGCCAGACATCTACCTCTCTGTGGATGCCTTAACTGGGATTTTCCCCCAGCGAGCACTTCCAATTCTATTACTGTATGCTATCATTCTGACCTAATGAATCCAGTCAATGTAGCCAATCACTCTTTAGTCATGATGTGCCTTAATTTAGGGTTTCACACTAACTCAGGTGATTTGATTTGATGGCCTAATCTAGTTGACCTAATCTAACCAATTAACCTAATCCAATTTTAATGTACAGTCCTCTCCCAAGCCACAAAAGTCTAGCTGTTGTCTATTAGTTTAGGCTTGTTGTGTTGCTTCCCTGCAGTTCCTGCATATTGCAGATCTGTTGGTTAATAAGGGTTGCATTTTCTGATTTAGTAAGATGGAAGATATAGGTAGACGACCTGATAAATGTTCAATAGTCTAGCAGGAACTGTTTTCAAGGCTGCAAATCAGGAGCAGGGAAAGAATGATTGAAAATAATTTTCTCATTCAGATTCAACTGAAAGCTATACCAAAATTTGTATGTTAAGCTAATGATGTTCCTTGAATCTGATGAGCTTTTCAGCCTACTGATCTTGGAATGCATGGGATCCCATCTGTTTTTTAGTATTAGTATTATCTGTCTCTTGCTCATTTGGCTAATTTATTTAACGGGGAATGTCTTGCTTTAGCAATGAAACGTAACTCTAAGTTGGGGTCAAATAGATGTGTGCTGTAAGGCACTGTCCTTTTATGGCTATTCCTATAAACCCTGCTTCTTGTGCTGTTCTCTTGCAGTTAGTTATTAAGCTAAGGACAAAAACCAACACAGACTATTTCCTTGACTGTTGCTCTCGAGAAGAGCGTGACATTTGGGCTTTGGATATCACAGGTGCTATTCATGCTGGCAATCCAGTGCAAGTTCAGCAACTTCATCTCATGAGAAACTCCTTCAAACTTCCTGCGAACATCAGTTTGAAGTATGTGGTAAATAAGTTCTCGGTCTGTTTTTGCATGCTGCTGCTTTCAACTGAAAACAACGAGCACTGTTTTCTGTATGTCAGGAATGAGAAGCCGGTAGTTCTTGTCACTGGCCCAACCATCTCTGCAACACTAGGCTTCCGAGCCAATGGCAAGGGATGCTTAATATTGTAGCTCATCCACATCTGAAAGGCTATGTTTGTCACCTCCTCTGTGCATGTACACAAAATTTCCTTTACATACACTAAACATTTTCTGATGCCTTTCCTCTGGAACTCAACACCACTCATTTATAAATCCAGCCTAGTCTTCCATACTATATCATAACATTTTGTGATGCAATGTAATGAAGCACAAATAATGGCTACTGGCAATAGAGGATGGCCATCCCTTGGAAGAAATTGACAAATTCTACTTGCATGTAAGCAGAACTGGATTCCAAACATGTTCTGAGTATTTTTGGATTGAAAACATGCTATTAGCTGAAAACAGTGGAATGTGGGTACATTCACAAAACTGGTTCTTCTGTTTATTTATCATTGACCCTCTCTTGATTTTTTTTTCTTCCAGTCATATTGTGGACAAAATGTATGATAACAGCAGCGGAATCAAGATAACGCCCAGCACCAGACAAGGCAGCTTGTATAAAGAAAGCTTTACAGGTACACATGTCACCAATTTTGTTCTTCATTATGCTCCTCTACAGACACATTTTCTACCAGAAAACTTTTTCAGAACTTGTTTTAATTATCAGATGTGTGAAAAATAAAAGGGAATGCATTTTCAATGTCTTTTGTTCCACTGCTTGCAAACCCCCCCACACCCCAAAAGATGGCTCATTTCAGAAATTGCATGGAAATATGCTTTAGAATATGAAGCTAACCAGGGCAAGTATGTTAATGGGTAGAGGCCTAAATTAAATCTGACAGATTCAGATTCATCTCCCTAATCAGTTATGAAACTCTCTAGGACCTTCTGTGGAAAAAAATGGAGAACTGAAGACAGCTCCAGTAAGTGTGGATCCAACAACCATGGCAGAAAGAAGAGTCAGCAAATAGACCTGCTCTTCATAATTTTTCTCTGGACACAAAGAAGACTTGAGATTGCACATACATACTCTATACACTTGTTCCCTATGAGTAGGTTGCAACACAATGGTGGGTTTAGATCTCTAGAAGATGAGAAAACAGCCATCTTGGTCAAACCAGAGCCTGTCTCTTCAGAAGAATGCTGAGTTTACAAACATCCTCTTCTAATCACTTTCAGAGATTTCTTGTTTCAGCTATTAGGAACTTTTGGATTGAAAAATCTGAAAAAAATGGATGATTTTTGCTTCAGTACTTAGCAAAAGAAGTTTTGAATAGAGTTTAAGGAATTCTTTTTTCCTAAAACAACTTTTTTTAATAAACAGAAAAAAGGTGATGTTTTCCAATACTTTGCTTTTGGAAAATTACAACTGGACTATGGATCCATATAAATTTGAAATAAGAATCCTCCCATGGGAAAAATGTTTTTGTATTTTAATTTAAAAAAAACATGAGACTTTAAAAATTGGATACTAAAGAGAACTAGAAGGAATTAAAAATAACAAAGGAGAACATTAAAATTCAACTTATTAATACAGAATGGAGCAACATATTTTAACTGTGGACATACTGAAGGATATTTTTGAACAATGGACCCAGAAGTTAATCTTAAGAGTGTCTGCTTTATACCTCCTTCTGTATTTTTTTAAACCATTTATTGGGGAATGTATGTTGGCAGTAACCATGCAGTATATCCTCACTGTTGCTTCAATCTACCTTTTTCAGGAAGAATGTAGTTGAATTTATTCAGAAAGGTTTCTTCAAAATGACTTAATGATAATTTTTTAAATTTATCAGAAGGACATAGTATTGCTGTCTCCCTTTCTACTTGTCTTGGAGATAAGATAACAGTAGATATTGTTTGTCTGATTAACTCCATTTCTTCCTTTCAGGCTCCATACTGGTGGATTGGTTGATTTCCAATAGCTTTGCAGCTTCCCGGCTTGAAGCAGTCACGCTGGCGTCTGTGTTGATGGATGAAAATTTCATTAAGCCAGTGGGAGTCCGCAGCATTGAAGCCATAAGGAATGGAGATTTGACTGAGCAATTTTTAGATGACTCTACTGCCTTGTATGCATTTGTAAGTGGTGCAAACTCTGAAAGCTGAATCTCCTCCTGTATACAGATGAGGTTCAAAAGTTAGCTGTATTAATTTACTTTGTACGGTCAAATAAGAGGTGATTATTCAGCAGGTATTCAGTCTTGGAGTCTTAGTGGACAACCAGCTAAATATGAGCCAGCAGTGTGCAGCAGCAGCCCAAAAAGCTAATGCAATCCTAAATTGTATTAACAGAGGGATACAGTCAAGATCAAGTGAGGTATTAATACCACTCTATAAAGCCTTAGTAAGACCACACCTAGAGTACTGCACCCAGTTTTGTTCACCACATTACAAAAAAGATGTTGAGGCTCTAGAAAAAGTACAGAGAAGAGCAACCAGGATGATTAGGGGGCTGGAGACTAAAACATATGAAGAACGGTTACAGGAACTGGGCTTGGCTAGTCTAGTGAAGAGAAGGACCAGGGGAGACATGATAGCAGTCTTCCAATATTGAGGGGCTGCCACAGAGAGGAAGGGGTCAAGCTATTTTCTAAAGTGCCTGTAGGCCAGACAAGGAATAATGGATGGAAACTGAACAAGGAGAGATTTAACCTGGAAATAAAGAGAAACTTTCTGACAGTGAGAACAATCAACCAATGGAACAGCTTGCCCTCGGAAGTTGCGGGAGTGCCATCACTTGAGACTTTCAAGAAGAGATTGGACTGCCATTTGTCAGAAATGGTGTAGGGACTCCCCTACACCATTTGGACTAGATGACCTACAAGGTCCCTTCCAACTCTGATTATCTGTTATCTGTTAAAGGTTCTGACCAGTTCTGGAGAACTGGTAGCGGAAATTTTGAGTAGTTCAGAGAACGGGCAAATATCACCTCTGACTGGGGATTTTACAGTATCATTCCCCTGCCACGATAGTAAAAAATATTGAATCTCACCACTGAGTCAAATAGGAAAAAAAAGTAGGCAAACAAATGATAAAATTTTGATAAATAACTTGTACTTTCTAAAGCTTTCAATGCTTTTATCTAAGATTATGATATTAATTGGACTTTGCATAGGTGTGAACAAGCCTAGATAGATTTGGGTGTAAATATAACCCTGGAGAACACTGCTCACAAACATCTTTGTGAACAGTGTTCTCCAGGGTTATATTTACATTGAAGTCTTACTGTGTAGGCTTGTTCACACCTATGCAAAGTCCAATTAATACCGTAATCTTAGATAAAAGCACTGAAAGTCCTTGGACTGTGCATTTTTGTTACTGTGATTGCTGGTCAGGATGTGCTTTAGGAAAACAATTAAGCACTGCAAAGTTGCTCCTGGTAGGCACCAACTTATATTAATAAACTATCTTCTTACCTTTGGATAAAAATAGCAACAGCAGCCAATGGCCAGCTCTGGATTTGCCTGCCATTTTAATTTCCCAGACTGTACTATGAAAAATAATTAAAATGGCTGAGGAGGAGGAGAAGGAAAAGGAGAATAGCTTGGAGATCAAAGCTTGTAAAAATGAATGAAAATCAATCACGCTAAAGAATGAAATCAGAATTTGCAAAACTTGTACTGACTCTTTAGTAACATAATTCAATGCTTTTGTTTTTACTGCAGGCTGAAAGCTATAAGAAAAAAATCAATACTAAAGAACAGCTCAATATTAACATACTTGAACTGAGTGGCACAATTTTAAAGCAAGGCTTTTTGATAAAACAGGTAACCATGACTTTAGAATCTCAAGATAATCACGGGATGGGGATGAGGCAATATTTTATTGGTATCTTCTAAAGCTCTTTTTGAAATAAAATGGCATTTTAATAGAAAATCACCACAATTTAATTAATGTACTGTTAGCAAATTAACTAACACATGAACTAGACTTAGATGGTAACTAATTGAAACTCTGCCCGCTAAGTTTCTGTTAAAAAGGAAGTGTTAGAAATAGAGAATAAATAGAAGCAATCTTCTAACCACAATATGTGACTTAATGAACACATAGTTTTCCTCTCAGTTTGATACAGAAAGTGACAGCCAAGCATCATTATCTTGTTTTTGCCATGGCAAAATTTCTACGCAGCACAATCTACACCAGAAGGCAGGCCATTGGATCACACATTACTTCTGAAAGCTTAGGGAGTGGCCCTCACAAACCAGTAAAATTTATTTACAAATTGTAATTTATAATATGACAGGTAGAGGGAAATTATTCAAGTAGAGAATGGCTAGAGAGCAATCTTATTTAATGATATTTAATTTTGTTGTTAAATATAATTAAATAAAATCTAGTCTTATTGTGAATTCGGCCATTGGTTTGGGGACTTGAAAATTTTAGGAACCCCTGAACTATGCTCATTCAAACAACTTGGAGGACTATAGTGTTTCCTCACACATTTACATATACAAATATTTCTAACCATTTCATTTATGGCAGCTTCTCAGTAATAATAAAATCAGTGGATCAACTGTGGTCTACTGCCCCTAACTGACCTTCACCACCTTCTTGTGGGCTCACAAGGTAACTTGTGCTACACCTAACCTCAAGAAGAAGGCCCTGAGTGCCAACAGCTGCCTCACAGTCAGTCCAGGTGTGCTTTGTTAGCAGCAGATGTAAGAAGATATTGAAAATCAGTTAGGGACATGAGGGTAAGGACCATGGAGTGCAGGCCAGCAAAAGGACCTAGATGGGGTGGGGGGAGATAGGTCGGTGGGGCTTGTTGAAGCGCATCCTGAGGTTTCAAATGCAAGAGACGGTTGCCAAGTGCCTGAATTTTTTATCCCATGACCACAGGAGCTCTTCAACAGCTGTAACTCTGGAGCACAAGGATCATTTGTTCAGCGTCATCATAATTTCAAACAGTGCCTGAACGAACGGTTATTAAATGAGGACTACCTGAACTATCCCTTAGTTTGTCTTTCCACCTGTGGCTGCTTATGCAGTGATAAAAGGGAGTAAACCAGGGGTGGGATTCAAATTTTGTAACAACCAGTTCTGTGGGCATGGCTAGATGGGTGTGGCCATGTGACTGGGTGGGTGTGGCTCTCCCTTTTTTTTTTTTTTGGCACCAGTGCTACGCCCACCTCCATTTTTTGCCTTCCTGGGCCTCAGGGAAGCCTCCTGGGTGAAGCAGTGAGTAAGTGAAGGGAATCCCGGCACAGCTGATCATAGGAACAGCTGATCATCGGGAGGGGAAAAAATACCTTAAGGAGTGAAGACGAAGAACGCAGTCAGCAATGTCAGGCATGCGCACAATGTTGCGCATATGCGATAAGGACTGACTGGGCAGAGAGGGGCAGGGCCAGTCAAGGGCATGACTTGCCAGTTCTCCGAACTGTGCAGAATCATAACAACCAGTTCTATAGAACCTGTCCGAACTGGTAGAATCCCACCCCTGGAGTAAACAGATAATGTCACATTCATTCTCTACTATTGACAATTACAAGAGAGCTGTGTTTTGGAGAAAGAAAATTAACTTTATTTTCCAACTTTCAGGGACACAAAAGAAAGAACTGGAAAGTCAGGCGCTTTGTCCTGAGGTCTGATCCTGCTTTCTTACATTATTATGACCCCACAAAGGTGAGACAATGGCATTGCAATCTTCAAAACTCCCTACAGGGGTGCCCTTGGGGAATGTTCCCCCTCCCAAATGCCTTAACACTGTTGCTGATGGGTAGGAGGAATGAATTCTGCATGTATTTCAGTAAGGTTGGGGCGGGATTCCTTGACATCTCTTCACACTGGATCCTAAATGGCCCACAATACTTCTTGAGTAACTTGTACTGTGCTGTGGTTCATTTCCATATTAGTTTTAAGTCAATGTGCCAATTAAATACAGAATCTAAAAAATAATAGCTTAATACAGCACATTTGCTTTGGGAACGGATATACCTTGTGGTTATTGTTTTCTGTCATTGAAAAAGAACACATTTGGGTTTGGAGATGGGACAAGTTACATTATGGAATTTCAGCAAGATACATACTGCTGAAGGTTTCCCCCTCCCCATGCAAATATGATACATATAGGAATCCTGTCCTCTTTTTTTTTTTACTCTACTTAGAGAATGAAAATCAATTCAGAAGAAAAATAGATTTTATATAAAATGATTTTTTAATACTACTCAGCTTAGAGTTCGACATTGTTATTCAACCATTTTGTTAGGAAGAAGTGCTAGGAAGATTTTGCTGATTGGGAGCCACCCTGAGTTCGATATAAGATGGGCAGTTGTATAAATGTTTTAAAATAAGCAAACTGTGTTTATTTTATCAGCGCCATTTGAGGATTCTGGTTAGATCTCAAGTCATTTCCTATAATCTGTAATTCTATGCTGCTTGTGTTTGAGATCTGGGCGAACTCAACTGTGTGTTTGAAGCCAGAGTGAAACATGATGTCTCACGATGTGTCATGGCTTAGTGACAGAGTTGCTTGTCTCAGTTGTGCTCATTTACAAGGTTTACTGTAGTCCTAGCTTTTAAATCTTCCAACTCTCCTAAAGTTGTGAAGAGACCGTTTTGTAGGAAGTCTGACCTTATCCCAACTCCTAGTTCCTAACTATCAGCTGGCCCTTACACTCTTTTGAACAAAAATACAGTCCCACCCATAAACCACTCTGAGCTTTTGCTTGTGACAAAATGGCTACATAACACATCAAGATGGGGAGAGGAACCGAAGAGATTTTAAACATTTCCTTGTGCATAGGTGGTGTGGAAAGGGAATTTCACAAAGGTAGTAGTGTCACACAAAAAAACAGGAAAAGCCCAAAAGGAACATCAGGTCAGCCAGAAAACAAACTTACACAGGAAAAGGAATCAAATAAAAAGTATTAAAGAATCCCTATAGACAAAAGCCTAAGTAATTAAGAAAACTAGATAAATAGGAAAAGGAAACAAAAGATAATTTAGAAAACTCTTACAAACACAGGACATACCAAATAAGCAAAACAGACAAAAGACACAAAATATAAATTACAAAAGGGACAGACAGGAGATTGCCACAGAACAAATATGAAAAACTATCTTAAAGCTAAAAGAGATTACAGAAAACCAATAATACAATCTGGCCACCCCGCGGAGTTTGCCTTCTGCACCCCGCGGAGTTTGCCCTCTGACGGAAATAAAGACAAACTCAAACAGGATTTGAAACATTAGGCACAAATACAAACACTCACACAAAATCAACTTACAAAGGGAGAAAAGGGTATAAAAAACCAGGGACTTACCATAAGAAGCTAGCTAGCCCAGGAACGCAGACTTCTCGCTGTTCTCTGCCTTCCTGAAAAATAAAAAGATCCAGCTTTCAAGCCGTTGTCCGTATTCTTGTGCCGGAGCTCTCCCAGCGGGAAAATCGAATCCTTGAAAGAAAGGCATTTTGACACCTTTCAACAGTGGTAAGAATGTTTCTTTCTCCAGAACCATTGTGATGGTTCAGGGCATGGCTGTGATTCTTTGCTACTGGTTCTCAGTGTTGTGAGTCAGCAGAAGAGAAGTTAAGTCCAGACTGTCTTCAGACTGCTTTTTAAAGGACTGAAAAAACAAATAGAATTGTTGGCGGCATAGGAGTGCCTTCAGGCAGTGTAAAGTGTTTGTAAAAGTGCTATTTAATCCCCAGATTGTCTAAACCTTTTAATCAACTGTGGAGATTATATTTAAGGCCGAATGTGTCATGCCAATCTGCTGCTGCTCAGTTTGTGGAAACTAAAATCTGAGACAAAACATTGTCGTTGTGTTTCAGTTTCAGTTTCAGTTGACAATGAGAACCACTTTAAGATATCCTGAATCACATGTGGCAGTGCTTATAAGGCAGTGTCCACATCACCATGGTTTATCATGTCATGCAAACATATCCACATTACCACTGCCTTTTTAGATACCTACTACAGTCAACAATTGGGAAAGGACCACAGATCATCTCCTTAAATAGAGGCAGATTCAAGCAAAACTTTCCTTGCTTGGGTCAAATTTGTTGAATGGAATGTAACATTTTGATTATTTGCTTTACTCACATCGGTCCACTCTTTTTTTTCCTCCTATAGGAAGATAACAAACCCGTTGGGGGATTTTCTCTCCGTGGTTGTCTTGTTTCAGCACTGGAAGACAATGGAGTCCCAACAGGCAAGTTATTACCTTGCAACATCCAGTCTTACTGTTATTTTGATAGCTTCCTTTCTTTTTTGTTCATTGATAAAGATTAGAATGGTCCTTCATTCATTATTTCCAGGGGCATTGGAAGCAGCCCATATTACCCCCCATCCTCCTTCATCTGCCCTTGTCTCATTTCCAGACCATGTGTAACACAATAGAGGACAAGCACAAAACACAGGAGAGCAAATGGCATCAGGATTTTACCAGCAACTCCTTTTATCACCTAGCAAGGCCTATTTCTGCTAAGGAATGCTTGTGATAAAGAGCTGCTAGAGCCCATCCAATGCATTGGATCTTCTGCTAGGGCCAGTTCTTAGAAGAAGTGGGGGAGGGTGCGCAAAATATGGGTGCTCCACACCCCGACTCCCTCTCGTTTTAGCCATATTATGCACGAACAAAGGCACACCTTTCTTAAAGTTGTAGCAAAAGTCGCTGTCCAAAAGGGGAAAACCCTCCCTCCACCTTTCTTTAACTCAAAGTTCACCAGGATTGCTTAGGAGAGGACAATCACAGTGGCAAAAAATGGCTATGGTTTCTCTTCAGAAATGAAAAACTTAAGCTACCTTAATTCCCAGGTAGAATAAAATAGATTCCAAAAAGAAGTACCGCTTAGTTGCTCAAATGGACCCTTTGCCTCACTTTTGAAAGCCTTTTATATATGACTTAAGCAAAGTTCATGTAATGCAGAATGGAAAAGCAGGTTCGGTGTGTCTTCTACAATATCTTATTCTGACATTCTCCCTCTGAGAGATTACTGGTACTTCAGCAGTTTTTTGTCTTTTTTTGTGTGTGTGGGGGGGTGCTTTTGCGTAATTTTTTTTTTAATCCCAGCAAGTACCTGGAAAAATCCTCATAGTTTTCCTGGATTTTCAGAAGTGGTTTGCCATTGTCTCCTTCCTAGAGGTGAGAGAGAGTGACTGGTCCAGGTTTACCCGGCTGGCTTTTTGCCTCAGGCAAGACTGGAACTCATGGTCTCCCCGTTTCTAGCCTGATGCCTTAACCGCTGCACCAAACTGGCTCTCTCTACAGATAGTCATCACTTATGGCCATAATTGAGTCCAAGGTTTCTGTTGCTAAGCGAGATAGTTGTTAATTGTGCCCCATTTTATGACCCGTCGTGTCACCCTTGTTAAGTGAATCACTGCAAATGTTAAAGTATAACACAGTTTTAAGTGAACCTGGCTTCCCCGTGTAAGGGTCATAAGTTTGAAAAATAGTCAATGTCACTTTTTTCAGTGTTGTAATTTCGAACAATCACTAAATGAACGGCTGTAAGTTGAACACGATCTGCATGTCCTATTAAACGACTGTTTTCTTTTCTTTTGCAGGAGTAAAAGGAAATGTGCAAGGCAACCTCTTCAAAATTATCACGAAGAATGACATTCACTATTACATACAAGCTAGGTCCAAGGCAGAAAGAGCTAATTGGATTGAGGCAATCAAGCCACTAACATAGGAGATGTATCCAAGTTGCATTTATGGGACAGTTTAATACAAGGACATAAAAAGGAGCTGGGTTCTTTTTTTCCTTTTGAGATTGCTGGCTGAGTTGTTTTAGCCTGGCATAGTTAGTACCTGACAGATCTGCTATATTTAGGCTTTTTCTCTGAAGCAAGGAAGCATATTATGACACATCCACTTCATCAGAAGTTCCATAAATTCTGACAATATGACCTGTTGATTGCCTGCACTATTCTGCAGTTTGGAATATGCTGTCCGGAACCCCCAACAGAAATAGAACTAAATTGGCTGCGGAAGAGAAACTAATCTGGAACCAGCATTCTGGAACCAAATCTGTCTCTTTCAAAACGATTTTGTGCAAATTCCTTAATGATCTACTGTATATCTTTAGATGTCATACTTGCAGGGCCTCTTTTCTCTTCGATTTAACTTGTGGGAAGCATCAGGGATCACAGCATTATTTGAGAAGGTGAAGACCAAGAATGTTGCTGCTTAGTATTTACATTTTGAAGACAGGAACAAATTCACCATATTAATATTGCCATGGGCTTCTAACTCATCGTGCCCTAGATTTCCTGAGAGAACAAAGTTTGCTGTTTGCCTCCTGTTCCTAGCCAGGCCCAGCATAACTTTAAATCAATTATCTTGTCAGTCTGACCCTGCCCTACAGGATTCCTGTAATGAAAAAAATAAAGACGAACTGAACAGCTATCAGGTGCTACATTGAGTTCCTTGGAAAAGGGACATTTCTATTAAAAACACTGGCATGGCAATATGAAAAGTCTCATGTGCTGGCTGCTGTTCTCATACGGTGGGAGTGGAAGAGGAAAAATGTCTTAAATATAATGCATATATATAATCTGAGCATAAGTTCAGATTTTACTTAAAACTGGTATTGGAATACTTAGAATTGTTGGAAAGATCAGTTATATTTTTACCATTAACACCAAGATGGTGGACTCTAGATGCCGCCAAGTTTCATTCTCCCCCCACCCCCCAATTCCAATTCCAATTCCATTCATTGTATATGATCCTGCATGAATGTAAACACTGAGTAGTGATTTAAATGTTCATATTTTTATTTTAAAAATAAACCATTTTTTTTACTCTTGTATTCCTTAGCTTCCTAAAATTTCTTTTTTAAAAAAATAACCATTTGGGGACTCTGCGGTCACATTAAGTGAAGGCATCCTGAGCAGTGCTAGGTTAAAAAGTTGGACAGGTACACCTCAAAGCTGGGTCAAATGTTCCAGAATATAGAATTCTCTGGGAAAATGCTACATCTTCACAAGATGGAAGTTGCATTTTTTATAACAACTAAATGCTTGTTTATTTTTATGTGATTTATATTCTGCCTTTTGTATGGGAGCTTGAGACAATACCCACATTCTTTTTCCATGCCCCTCTTGGTAATAACCTTGTAAAATAGGAAAGGCTGAGAAAGAGTGATTGAATTTTGTGTAGAAAACCATGTATAGATAATGTTGGAAGAAAGCATCCCTCTTAAGATAATAGGAGCCTGGAAAGGATGCTCTCATTGGACAAGTGTGTATAAAATCATTTTGGTATATTGATAGTAACATCAATAGGATAAAAATGTTTAATCCTTGTAGCACAAACTTGATTCAGCACTGGAATCTATTCCTCCAATCAAATGTTTTTTGCTCAGAGAATGCTCTGATCTTAATTGGAGAGAAAAGTGACGTGAAGTTCAATGCAAGAGAAACTTACTGCTTTGAGTTAAATAAAACAGAGATAGTTACACACAATTATTTTATTTTCAATTTTTTTCAACATAGCATACACATTTACCCTGGGACAAGCACCAATGAACATAGTGTAGCTTACTTCACAATTTTTTTAAAAATGTGCTGAAAACATCTTTATGCATATAATAGTCTTCCTCTTAGAAATTAATATAAAACCTCTGTCCACCTGCAGCTCTCTCATCCCAAAGCTTGCAATCAGATGGAACAGAATAGACCTGCAAGACTCCCAGAACCCTGAACTAAAGTAAAAAGCAATGTTTAAATTATTTTGGGAGGGGGTGGAATTCTAAGAAAACGTAACAGACCAACATTGCAAAAGGCACACATAAAGGCAAAGAAAAGAAAATGCAAAAAGGACTTTTGCCATAAAGCAGTAATGATATGGGATTATTTATTACAGAGATGAAAAATTTATGATCCTTTGGGCATTGAGTTAAAACTCTTAGGATCTTTTGCAGTTAGTCATTTTGTCTAGGACTGCTGAATGTTGTAGCTCAACATTGGGAAGGGCATTTATTATTTTATTCAAGCCACCTTGGTAAGCTTGAGGTCTCCTGAGATTTGCAGAACAGTCATCCTTTGCACAGGCTGCACGCGGTGACTGAAACTACACAACTGCCGTCCGTCGAGCAGGATTCGGATCTGCTGATGTTCACATAAAAGTTCCATCTTAAAATGAACAAAAGGCAAAAGAAATTGTTGGAAAGTTGTGCATGCAAACACCTTGCAGATAGTTAAATGTCATGGTACTTCAAGCAAGAATATTAATATTTCAATATTTAGTGAATTATAAGATATAAGATTTGGGCAATATATACAAATGCACCAGCACCAAGTATTCTTAAAGACAACCAGTTTATCCCAAACAACAGGCCGGTCTAGTTTCTCTTCTTCTTGCTCCTGTAGAAGGTAAAGTAGAAAGCAATGTTTTGTATGAATGGGGCCACAAATTCAGTCTCTCCAGGTTAAAGGATGGTGAGGAACTTTTGTTTGTTTTAAAATTTATTTGTCACCCATCACGTAACCAATAACTCTGAGAGACTTACAATATAACTTCCTGCAGCTTGGAACCACACTTTTTTTGTCAATATTTTTGTCATGGTTTATAGATATTAGAATTCTTGTAGAGTGAAATGTCAAACGATTTGAAGAGCTGGAGAATGTTGCTGTTGAAGATTTGGAGGATTGTCAGTTAACAATGGGAATTAGGTAATATAGATTTTTTTTCTTTTTACAACCCCTTAATCCTGTTATTCAGGATGGAATCAGAGCGACTGAATGGAGCTGAGCATCTTCTGGTCAGATGCCCTTCCTGACACCTATGTGGAGTTCACAGCAAATATTTTATCTTTGTGCCTCATAAACATCTCCCGCTGCCTCAACTCTCAACCTTCCGAGTGGGAGGCAAACATCTTCACCTCTAGATCACCACACCGCTCAGGAACTAGGTAACATAGATTGCCAGGCATAAACTTATTAGAATGTGCAATACTTCAAATCTGAAGATACAAAGAGTCTTCAGAATACATAGGGCACAATAACAGGAAAAGATACAGCTGCTTTAAAGAGTTGAAGTTTGATGCTAAGTCACCTTTTTGCCTTTGAATCTTTGAATCCAAAGTTATACACAGTCCTAAGACTCTGTGTGTGTGTGTGTGTGTGTGTGTGTGTGTGCGTGTGTGTGTGTGCGTGTGTGTGTGTGTGTGTAAGAGAGAGAAAGATAGAGAGATTACCTTAAATGAGTCCTCTGCTGTAAATGGAAAGTAGGGAATTGTCTTCTCCTCCTTGCCCCATTTCCCAGCAATTTGCGAATTCCGGACAATGGATTTCTCACTAAAGCTGACTACAAGTAATAATCCAATATCCCTGGTTGCGCGATCATCCTTCGGATCACAAAGCAAAGTCACTGAAAAACTACAAGAAAGTAATATGCATTAATTCAGGGGTCTCCAACCTTGGCAAATTGAAGTCCGCCAGGCTTCAAGTTGCCATGGTTGGAGACCCCTGCATTAAGGATCTACAGAGTTTAGCAATGCAAAATGACAGCACATGATTTATAAAGAGCTATTCCTTCTCTTTCTCCTTCCTAATATTCCATGACACCCATTATCACCAGGCTTTAAGGGATGTACAAAATGTTAAAAACAATCTCTACAATAAAACACCATAATTGCCCTGGAATAAAATAATCCCTCAAATATAAGAAGCTATACAAGAAGTAGCATCTTCCCAACCATTAAAATTTGAAATTCCACCTTAAAAGTTTTCCAACCATGTGCACAGTCATTTATTTCCACAATATGTAGCAAATATGATGTACTCTACCAGCAATAAAAAAATCAATTATATTTCTCCTAACTCAGCCCTGTTGGTATAATACTAAAAGTGAATGAAACTCATAGCCAAAAAATGATTACGATTAATCAGCAAAGTCTTGCATGAATGCTTCCAGATCAAAATCTCCAAGCAATAGTAAGCAACTTGTGGGTGAATATGAAAAGAAAATAGCTGGGAAAAAAATAGGGGAAAAAAAAACCAAGGTACTGGAAATGAAAAATAAAGAGGAAGGCAAAAATAGAGAGCTCATTACATATTTATTTGCAACATTGTTTGGATTATCCATATGATTCTATCAATCAGACAGGTTACAATTTGCACAATACAAACAAATGGTATAAAAGACACGGGATGGTGATGTCATTTTGTGTAGTGTGATATAAATCTGATTTTTGATGTAATAAAAGCAGGGAATAATCCCCTTTTGATTAAAAATAAATAAATTGACCTGTTACACCCACCAGAAGTATGTCCTTTGAAAACATGTATTTGTGGGCTTTGGCGCAAAAATCCAGATAATCGCTAGAAGACAGCAAAGTTTTTTCAAATGGTTTAAATCAGTAGTTCTCAACCTTTTCTTCACCACAGACCCCCATGGACCTTGGCCACGAACCAACCAAGACTTTAGTCAAGATTTAAATCATAACATTTCTTGAAGCCTTTGCAGACTCCGAACATTCGCAGATCATAGGTTGAGAAGCACTGTTTTAAATCATTGCTGCTGTCTGGTAAGGAGCTGGATTCTTGCCAGTCAGATCTAATAAAACTAATGGTCTTATGTTAGTCTGGTGTAGAAAAACCAACAAAATCCACAGCATCCTAAGACTTAGGATGTATTAGTAAAATACATTATTATAATGTATTTTTAATATAAAAACAACTACTGTATATAAAACTAGTGTTATGGTTTGTGTAAAATTAAGGCACTGGACAAGAAACCAGGAGACTATGAATTCTAGCCCTTCCTTTGGCACAGAAACCAGCTGAGTAACTTTGGGCTCATCACACTTTCAGCCCAACTCACCTTACAGGGTTGTAGTTGTAGGAAAAATAGGAGAGCATTATGTATACTGCCTTGAGTTGCCTAAATACAGGTAGATTTTAAATCAAACAATGTTTCAGATGCATCCAGAATCTCAATGATTTGTAAATTGTTTAAGGAAATAAAAACAAATAGTTTAGAGGAAATGGGGAAAAAAAACAAATGCTGGCAATTACATTAACAGACACCATGGACAAAAAAGGTGTGGGTGACAAAGGAATTCTGCCATTGTTCAACTTATTAACCCATGGAATGTCATTTTAAAAAAATGTCATTCCAATTCAAGTGAAAGTTGACAAAATGATCCTGCTGGTCTTTTATAAGACCTTAACGTCCTGGTTTTGTTACCCAGCTCAGGGATCCTGATGTGTGGCAGAGCCTATTCAATGGTTGTGTTGATTTATTGTGGGCTGTTCTGTTTTTACCTTTGTTGTTGATTATGTGCCAGTTGTTTTTTATTGTTATGCATTTTTGTGGTGTTTTAATTGTTGAGAACCACCAAAAGTCATGAATTGGAGGATATAAATTTACATAAATATAAATTGAAGGAAGGAATGAAAATGTCTTTTTAATGTAAAGCGAATAAGGCAGAAGAATTCAGAAAATGAGAAAAATAAAAAGGGGGAAAACATGTAAGTGCAAAATTCATTTATACATGTATTTGATGGT